ACATTTTCCCGCGCGTAACGATCCAACGCGGCTCGGATCGCGGTAAGTGATTTTTTGTTGTAAAAACTGCCGTCACGTTTTTTCGCTGACAAATAAAATTTCCTAAGGCATTTGTTTAGCTCTGGTGGCGACATTTATTCAAATGGTGTTGCAAACTCTTTCTGTTTTTGAAACCATTCTTTAAAAAATACCATTCAACTTTGATTTTCAAGTGAACAAGTGAGGTTACGCAAGATTAATTTGCATTTGTAAACAAAACCTTTTTCATTGGTTTTTATCGATAAACTTCCGGTTACCATTACCTTTGAACACGGCCAAACCAAATTTAGTCGCTTTCTCTGTGTTTTCAGTGACTGCTTCGTCGTTATTTGAGTGATTTATTCGCTTGTCACGGATGCAAACCGGCACGCCATTTTTTCCCGAGTTACTCGGAGGTAAATAGCAAAGGATATTCGGAGTTTGACTAGCCAATCAGAGCGCGCCTTTAATGCTATCCACTGTTTTAGTATATACTAATAATTATTATTTAAGGTAGAGTATCAATTTGTAATAGTTTGGAGCTTTTTAATTAGTTTAATTAGTTTAGTAGTTCAATTATAATTGTTTAATTAAGTTGTGAATTTACCATCAATTTTTAATCATCAATATTCTTATTTATTTATTACTTTACTTTAATTTTTTTTAAAAATTATTATTTTTCGGTCATTCCGGGAATTCCGGGAATTCAGGGTATTCCAGATATTCCGAGTATTCCGGTTCCGGTTCCGAATTCAGGCATTCCATGATTTCCAAACTACCCCCCCTTACGTGGTGGGTCGATTGTTCGAAAATCCAAACAAAATCCATAGACAGTAATAAGTCCGATTTCGTTAGATTTTCGGCCTGCTGATGGATTATATATGTCTCCAGTCAGTTATAAGAACAAAGACGTTCTTTCATGTTCCTTTAGTTGGCAATGGAATTATCAGGGGTAATTTTTAAAGTATTTCAAGAAATAAAGAGATAAATAAAATGCTATGAAAGGATAAAGAAAATGCATTTTTGCTCCTTTTTTTATTGTCTGCACTTTTCCACTGTTCCCTTAAAGCAAAAGAAAATGGGGAATTGCGGCTGAGTCGTTTAGGGTCATAACATATTTTGAGGTTTTACCGACAGAAGCATGAAAAATAATGGGACATCATTTTCTCTTGGTTTTACACAAAAGTTTTTGGCGCTGTTTAAACCACAGTGTAACGATACGCAAAAGCCCTAGGAAATGTTATGAAGTTGCCTTGCAAGAGAAGTTCTACCCTAAGAACGAATCTCGTAACGTTGCCCTATGATCGCTGGCTGACAGCAAATATTAGAGTACTGTGTTATGTATTATTGATATGTTACGAAGTACTTGATTTCTTAGTTATGATTTTAGTGTTTTTTTTAAATATACGTTTAGCTATCGCAACGAGTTTCCAAACTGTGTCAATCCTCAAACATATTAGTTTTTCAGTTATGAAATTATTGATTTGTTTTTATAGATTTGGCAAAGGAACCCAATCCAAACCGTTGCTCCGACTTTCTTCAACCATTGCCGTAGCTTAGTCACTCAAAACTTCTATGCATCTTGGGAAAAAGAGAACTTGACACATATACAGTGACAGTTTTAATGAAGTTATAATGACCTTATTTACAGCAGGTACATAAACAATGATCTAAAATAAAAGTATTTCTAGAAATGATTGCTTAATATTTTTTTAACTCGGCAACATTGTTTTATGCAATATACAATCTTTTGCCTTAATAACAATTAATCCCTTAAGAAAGTTCTAAATTTCGATTAAATATTATACTCTTAACAATTAACAGTTAATCCCAGGTACATAAACAATGATCTAAAATAAAAGTATAAGAGGGAAGAAAAGAAAGGAAAGGCCCATCACCATGAAAAGAAGTTCTTGAGTGTTCATACAAATTCTTCTTGTTTGTCTCATAGAGAATGTTCCGAGAAAACAGTCGTGTAGAGAATACATATGCGATGTTAAGGTATATATGTTGTGGTTCAATTTTATACTTGGTTCAAATTTTATTTTCCTTTGTTCTCGGTCATGTTAATGTATGAAAATGAGTTTGAAACAAAGGAAAATAAAATTTGAACTAAGGGTAAAATTGAACTACAACATATATGCCAATGTAAGGGGTTAGGTGAGGTAAAGTGAACGGCTTGAACAATCTGAGTGATTAAGCAATTGGGACAATAACTGCAGGAGCCAAAAATAAATGTGTTGTAGAGCATTTTCAAGGATTGATATTTCGAGTATTTTTAGGTTTACGTTTTCTTTTATTAAGTCTCGCCTTTTTGCGTCTACGTTGTTATTTTGATGAATCTATAGTTTTGCTCATTTATTTTTAGTGTGTGCTTGAACTTGGCTCAGTTCTTACCGTGCTAGACATTTTAATCACTTGTTATGGTTGAGGATAACTAGTTTGTTAGGTGGTCATGTTAGGGTTGGTAAAACTGACCTTGAGTTTTACCCACACTGAATATCCTGTTTTGGAAATTCCCACGGTCAGCTAACCCAAACATGTCTGTGATTTTTGCATTAAATGAGAGGGCACTCCTCGCTGAAGTTAGAAGAGAAATAGCTGTGGTAGTAGAAGGTAGTAGCAACAATAGAAGAGGACGGAATAAAAGAAGAAAAGTATAGAGACTTGGTACCTCTTGTTAATTCGCCAAGCGATTGGTAAAAGCCCACAACAAATGTTCAGACGGGCGAGTGTCGGATCTCTAATAAGTACAAAAAACGATGAAAAAGTAAGAGGGAGGATGTAAAATCGATTGGTCTAATATCCAAAACCCGTGTCCATGTATCGCCATGCCGGTAGACATCAGTAGCTGACTAGTCCTAGTCTTATGTAAAGCGGCGTAGTCAGCTCGAGTGGAAGTGGGGCAAGGAAAAAAAAAAACCCCAGTCTTTCACTCTCCTTACCCCCTCACCTTCGCTTTGTCACCGACACTCAGCACTCGTCCCAAATCTTCCATCCGTCCAATATGGCGACCGAATTAATATACGCCGCGCTGAGTCTTGCACTCGAAAACATAAACTACCGCCTGCAAGCAGGAGAGATGCGTCCCGCACTGAGTTAGTTTCTCTTTTCATTACGACGTAACATAAGGAACCAATCCAAACCGTTGCTCTGACTTTCACAAGGGAAAAGAGTTTGATATGCTTCAGCCATTACTAGCTAAGTCACTGAAAAATTCTATGCATTTTGGGATAAAGAGTACTTGACACACCTACGATGACAGTTTTAATTCAGTTATAATGACCTAATTTACAGTGGTTACATAAATAATGATCTAAAATAAAAGTATTTCTATAAATGATTAGTTAAACATTATTTTAACCCGGCAACCTTGTTTTATTCAATTTACAATTTTTTGCCTTAATAACAATTAATCCCTTACAAAAAGTTTTAAATTTTTGATTAAATATTATACTCTTCTTCTTCTTCTTCTTCTTTTTTTTTTTTTCTTTAATAAGCCAGCACTGAAGAGTTCGCAAAGCAGTCCTTAAGGAAAATGGGCGACAGCAACACGTTAAGCTTCTTTGCCATCCTGGCCAAAAATCTTTTAAAAACACATTCCATGCACGTACTCTTCAGATATTTGTGATACACAGAAATTTATGTGATGCGCTTTTGATAGTGCTCATGTTGCCCACCCCTTTCTCCCTTCAATGAAAGGATTCCGAAATTTACGATTTCGGATGCTAAAATCAACCTTTTGATTGAGAAGAAGGGGCAATGCACGATGACTGACTGAACGCTGTGCACAGTTCGCGTTAGGGTATCGCTCAGTCTTCTAGCCATAATAAATGGACTTTGCCCTTCATTTTAGATCTCAATCAGTTGTGGAGGCCACTTTTTTGATGACGTCTTATGTTCAAAATTCCAACACCAATGACGAATAAATAAATAAAGTTGAAAAGAACGAGAAAAGACGCACGAGATGGAAAAAACAAACAAACAAACAAAAAACAAAAGAACAAACAATAAAACAAAAGAACAAACAAAAAACAAACAAACAAACAAAAACACCAGCTCTGCAAAAAGGGGAAAAACATCTCAACTTGCGTTTCAACAAGTTCTAAAACCAAAATTTCGATCCAAAACTAAAACCAAAACTTCGATAACAGTCAGGGAAGATGATGGCGGTCACACTCTTTAAGAGAAAAAATGCCTGGGTTTACATATGCAGGAATGGCATGGATTTGATTCAGGCGTCCGTGACGCCTGTGGCACATCCGTGCCATGCCTGCACGGAATTCTGAATTCGTCATGGAGTAAATTACGGGATTTATTGACGAATTTAAGCCCAGCGATAGAACTACTCCCAAGAAAAACCGAAGGCCTGATAATTTGGAAAGACTTAGCTCAGGTACGCTGAACAAGGTCTGCATGATTGCGTAGATGAAAATTGGTGACAAAGTCAGCAGAGATGCAAAAGTAACAATGATTAAGGAATTTGTGAGTCTTCTTTCTCTGGTCCGGATGGCCGTGGACTGGTGTTGAAGAAGTGGACTGCGTCGCACTCTTATACATATCAAAAGATACGAGATGGAAATAATTAGAACCACGCTCGAAAAATAAGAGAAATATATGATTCCACTGACTAATTGCAAATTTCTTTGAAATGTAAAAGCTTGAATTGTTTCCACGGAGGTGGAAATCACCCAAATGGCAACGATTGCTATGACGTAGGCACGGCTTTTGGCGGTGAGATGTAGTAATGGAAAAAATGTGGCATGAAGTCTCTCCAAAGAAATTGCAACAAGATTAGTTACAGATGCTATGGGAAACAACCTACATAGTATACTTCGAAGATATTCCAGGGAAACTTTAGTCACTGGAGGAGTGAAACACAGAGGCCCTGAGACAGCTCCGACTAAGAGATCGACTATCGCCAGATGGATGATCAAGTATGTACTTCGCCGCTGTAGTTGGCGTTGCTTCTTAAATACGATGATGGTGATCAGATTAAGGATGAATGCAGCCAATAGTTCTGCCATGGAGGCGACAAACCATGAAATACTTTCGGCTGCAGTAAAATAGATGGGAGACGGATCGAAGGAGTTGTTGCCGTAGCTGGTATTAGTATCCATCAAACTCGGTCTGATATCAGTTTAATTCAACGACCACCTAAACGGGAAGAAAACAGTAAACAAATTAAAATGGCTTTCCTTGGCTAATTAGTGCTTGTCGGAATGACAAAAAAACCGAAAAGGAGACACCAGAACAAAAATTTAGGAAGGAAATGGGGAAAAAAAATAAAAGAAACTAACCGCATTAATTTCCTTGTGCAGCTGTTTCAAGGAAAATGCTATTCTAAGAGATAGATTTCTATCCCGCAGGGTGTCTTGCTGGACCAAGACACAGAGGAAGTTGTTTGATTTCTAGCGCTATTTTTAGATTTGCTCACATAAACTAAAGCCTGGAACAGGAAATGTATATGTATTTCCTTGTACGTTTGCAAGCATCTTATCGCGGGCTGTCGAGTTGAGCTCGGTAAAAACTCAAAACCGAATGAGAGTTAAAAAATCAACGGATAGTTATAATTATTTCTATTATTTTGATTGACTGAAGATCGGCGCGACATCTTTTACGCGCTTGAGTTCACCAAACATATAAAGATCACTTCTACCAACATGGAACTTCGTTGTTGTTTCCGATCAAACCAGCGAAAGATGAATAAGTGATGCTAAACTACTTTTACATGTGAAATGAAGCTAATTTTACAAATGCTATGCACACAACTACAGACTGTCGCGAGCAGTTTGGTTTCTGTGGTTAGCGAATGTAAATACTCATCCATCTCTCCGCTCTGAGGTGACGAAGAAGCTGATCAAGAACGGGAAACAGGGGCCGCTTGCAGTGAAGACGTTGCTGGTTTGCTAAGAATAACCTCTTATGATTACTTTCTATACTCATGACCAATTGCAGCCTCTTCCGGGAAGGAACTGTCGACTTTTTGTGTTTGAACCTTTTTACAAATACGCCGGTAATTTATCTTTTTTTTTTCAGTCTCTTGCGGGAGAGTGGAAATGTATGGCATGCTCGATCAAAGCTACCGAAAAAATTCTCAGGGTTCTTAATGTGAACCCAACACAGCATTTTACGTTTGACGAAACGATTGCTTCGAGAACAGGAAGAGATCAAATATCACAAAGAAAAGCTTGCGCCGAGATACATTTCGGTTACGGCTGTCCCTTAGTATTTATCTATGAAAGTCAAAACAGTTAACAACTAGTGACTATCAAACAAAAGACGAAAATGATGGCGCAGGCCAAAACAGCTCCAACAACATATCACTTCAAAGGAAGCGCAGGTAGAATATATACCCGGTAAACAATAAACCAACATGAAGATGAATGTTACCTTGTAAATGTGTGCATGGGGACAATACAGATACACCTGTTGCCACTCTTGTTTGCTTGGGCTTGTTCTCTACATCTATGAAAAAAAACCTTCCCGGCAGAGACAGAAGCAGAACCAGAAGCCACGTTCTTTCTTCGAGGTAAAATAGCATTCCGCTCATCACCTCTGCACATGCGTTCGCCAACCAGCCCGCGCGAAAAACAATATTCACTAGTGTGACATAGGCTAATTAACGATACCTCCTTTTAACCTGATGAAAGCGTTTCGCAGTTTTTGAACTCATCTTGGCTCTTAAGAATGAGAAGGAACTTTAAAGAGACGAAATTATAGACTTAAATATGGTGATACGATGGAAATATCCTCTTAACATCAACTATGTCTTACTTCAAAATTTTCCATTAGCAGCAAAACTGATAAACAACAGGTCACAGGTACCAAGTAGCACAGATTGAGAGATTATTGGATATCTAAAGGAAAATTTTTTTCCGATACAGCTTTTTGATCTTATTTTCTTAAAGTTTCAATGGTAAGTTCCTGATAGTCGCAAAGCTTTCCGATCTGCAGAACTCGTAATATTAAATGAAACGTCCTCTTTTTTTTGGCTTTCCCCTTGAGATAAACAAACATTCGATATACATCAATTATGTATATGAATTATGTATGATGTATAAATTATTAATCGAAAATAATGCTGATCTGTTTGTAAATTCTATTTCAAGGTATTACTTAATTTCAAACAGCACACCAATGCTCATAAGTGTACCCATATACCTTCTAAAGGCATAATTAAATTTCCAAGTTAAAGCGTTAGGTTAAGTCCCGTTTCTGCACGCGCATCTTGAAGTCGTGGCCAGATATTTGATTGTTAACATCTATAATTCTTTTTCGACCTTCTTCTGTGACTGTCTCCCTCTCTTGTTTGGCATTTTCTCTTATTTCGAATGTTTTCTACCCAACTAACCTTCAACTGTGACTTAAACTTTCTCAAATAAAAGAGATTATGTAACTCTATGGTCTAAGAGGATAATAGGATAGTTGAAAGCTTTTAATCTTTTCAATTTGAAAACATGGCGATCTGCTCTTTATGACGGTAAATGAGCCGAAACTCTACGCAATAAGAATTAGCTGTTCCGGTTTGTCAGAAACACTCATCGCTTTTTGGTACTTCTCTCTAACTTTTATGGCGATGCACAAACACGAGCAACTTTCAACGAGAAAGAATGAACTCATGGTCTCATCACCACTGCCCTAAGCCGAAACAGCTCAAAATTGGTATCTCTAATATATATAGAGCTATCTCTGACGAGGTGGCCGAGTGGTTAAGGCGTTGGACTGCTAATCCAATGTGCTCTGCACGCGTGGGTTCGAATCCCATCCTCGTCGATACTCTATATTTTTAAGCTTATTAAGAATTAATTGTAAGTGGAGAAAACGCAGATCTGAACTCGACATCAAAATAAATGGTTTTAATACTCTAAGAGACTGAAAAGTTCGGGTAATTCCTTTATTCACTTACGAACCACACTATTGCCCGGGACTCTGCGCAATGCTTAACTTAGCTAAGGCACAAATCATTTTCGACGACTGACTCTGGAAAGCTGGCTTACTAACTTAGAACAGACTCTCCTCAACAGGTGTCAACTACTACCAGCACCACACCAAACAACTTTTTTCATAACATTTACACTACAAACGAGCAGAACGACCTTACATTGCGGATCGAAACTGACCAATGACAACCAAATTTACGCCGCTTAAGTCTCAAAGCCAATAACATCACGGCCAAACTGACTAATAAGTTTACACTAACCGGACTTAATAAACTCGACTGACAACAACTTTTCATTTGATTCACACTGTGACTGAAACATTTCACTGAACAATTTATTCACAGTGAATAAAATACTTTTCAATATTGTGCACTCGTAATCCTTCGCGCCTCAACACAGTAGTATGCATATCCTTCGTACTGTTCTCTAGACATTTCCTCGGGGAGGGGGGGGGGTGGTATTGACAAGGAGAATTAGTTCAATAATTATAAGTGAGCAATTTACTTGATGATCATTTTCTTTATTCTTGTCACTTTAATGTTTGATTCAGGGGTGATGGGCTATAAACAGGTTTAAGAAAGCTATTAAGACTTTCTTCTCTGCAAAAGCTTTTCAATATTCTTTGTAATGTAATTTTTCTGTTTCTACATCTTCTTAGTCAACAGTTTTATTTCTAGCTTTTAGTATCCATGTAGAGTTGAATTTTTAACATTTAGTTGTAATGCGTAATTGAAAATTTAATATTGATAATTATTATCATTATTATTATTATTATTATTATTATTACTATTATATTGTAAGTAGAAAATAAATTATGGGTCAAAGGGTCAACAGAAACTTGTAACCTTTCTTCATCACTCATTCATTGTATTTACTATAATAGCTGAACTTCCCTTGTGGGGTAGGGTGAAGGCTTGAGGATGATTCTTACAAGCAGAAAATTTATTATTGATAAATTATTATCATTATTATTATTATTACTATTATATTGTAAGGAGAAAATAAATTATGGGTCAAAGGGTCAACAGAAACTTTTAACCTTTCTTCATCACTCATTCATTGTATTTACTATACCTGAACTTCCCTTGTGGGGTAGGGTGAAGGCTTGAGGATGATTCTTACAAGCAGACGTTTATTATACATTTGAACACTCAAGGGCGTAGCATACGGATAAACATGTACTTGGCTGTCCATCAACCTTGGTGTTATGATACAACCTGAAGCGTCAAACTCCTCCAGCCCTCTTCCTTCAGGAACTCTTAACAACTGCGCAAATTCTTCCGTTTCTAACTCTTTTTAGTCCTTGCTCGGAAACCTGATATTGGAGCATCCATCCTTGTTCGCTTCACCTATCGTCAGGACTACTAAAACATTCATTCGAAAAGAATTCTGAGACATTGTGACAAAATCGAATCTATTTGGTTTATAATAAGAACAGACAGATAACGTGAGGAAAATTAGTTAATCATGTGGTTTGATCATCTGTTGAAAGTAGCGCTAAAAAATAAGGGACTGTTGTTGTTGACAATGACCGTCGTTTCCACAACCTGAGCTGTCAACAACACGTCTGGCACCTATTTTCATCAAATTGTTCGTCAGATTTGTTAGAAAAAGAACAGGATTTACCAAATTCCACCATCCACAATGTTTCAAGTTTTTTTTGCAATAAAAATCTACCTAGAGGATCTTCTCGTCCTTTTTTTCGAGATCTTGTCGACCTGAGCTACGATATTCTAATGAAAACTCTTCTCACTAGAAAAGAGTTCTGCTAAGTAACAAGCAGTAACAGTTCAATCAATATCAATAACAGTTTATTGTGAGTATACACTTAGCTACAATAAAAGTGTACTCTTACAGACAGAACCGGGATCGGTATCTGCGAAAGCACGCCAGCTAATTTACAGGTGTTCCACAAAACACAATAAAATTAAAGTTAAAAGTTGAATGTGGAATAAACTATAGTTAACAATTATTCCACGAGCGCGCGTTGGATATGAGATGATAGACGGTCAACGAGGCGCGTAGCGCCGAGTTGGCTATAATCATCTCATATCCAACAAGCGTGGGTGGAATAATTGTTTTATTAAAAACGCCCCCAAGATATTAGACAAATCTTACCAAATCTTATATTTTTTTAGCTCCCTTTTAATTTTAAGCTGACGTG